GTCCCACACCGCCCGCCCTCGCCAGGTCCACCTGCCGCCATGTCCGGAAGGCCGAGCGCCGCGCCGCCGAGCGTGCCCGAGGACGCCTACTGCGAGAAGCACCTGGCGCCGCCGCTGCTCTTCTGCGAGGACGACCAGGCCACGCTGTGCGACAAGTGCTACCTGACGCAGGAGCACAGGGACCACACGGTGCTGGGGGTCCAGGAGGCCGCCGAGAACTACAGGGTAGGCGTCCTCGGCCGGGCGCGGCCCTCCCGCCGCTCGCGGTCGTTCGCGGGTTCATCTGGGGGGCAGGTGACCTGACCCTCCTTAGCCCAATCCCCCGGGTTAACACTTATCCAAAATAATAGTGATAATAATAATAATGCTAGCCCGGCCGGGCGTGGCTCAGCGCTTGGGCGTCGACCCAGGACCCAGGCGATCGGGGTTCGATGCCCGGTCGGGGCACGTGCCGGGGTCGCGGGCTCGGTCCCCGGCCAGGGGCGTGCGGGGGGCGGCTGGTCAGTGACTCCTCACTGATGTTTCTATCGCTCCCTCTCCTTCCTCTCTCGAACATCAATAAAGACATATTTATTTTAAAAGTGCTGGGCGAGTCGGGGCAAGGAAACGTAGGGGCCCGCGGGCCCGCGCGGAGCCCCGCCTAGCGGGAAGGCCTCGGTGTCTCCGCAGAAGGTGTTCCGGGAGCTGCTGCACACCCTGCGGGAGAAGCTCGAAGTCGCGAAAATCCTGCTCGCCGAGGAGCAAGAGCGGATGGTGACGGTTCAGGTGGGTGCGCGGCCGGTCTCGCGGGGAAGGCCCCGTGTGGGGTAGTGAGTGATAGAAACAAGGTCAGAGGACAAGTGACAAAGCAGGAGAGAAATGCTTGAAATCCGTGGGAGGGCACAGTGTTCGTTTCTTAGCGGGCAAAGGGCGCTTAAAAGTCAGTAAGTGAAAAACTAGAAACTTCGTAGGAAAATGATCCAAGAAATGAGAGTTCACAGGAAAGAAAATACAAATATCTTTTTCTTTCTTTTTTAATGTATCTTCGTTGATTTCAGAGAGAGGAAGGGAGAGAGAGAAACATCAATGATGAGAGAGCCATTGATCGGCTGCCTCCTGCTCACCCCCGACTGGGGATCGAGGCCACACCCCGGGCATGTGCCCCGACCGGGGATCGAACCCCGATCGCCTGGATCCTAGGTCGACCTCAGCCTCTGGGCCACGCCCGGCCGGGGCCAAATATCTTTTGAACATACAAGAAGATCCTGAACTTTGCCCATGGTAAGAGAAATACAGGTTAACTGTATTAAATTTGTTAGTGAGCTCGCACTTGCAACACTTCTTGGCAAAGAAAAAAGATTAGTAACAGCTTATGACCCTGCTGTGGGAGAATGAACGTCTCATTTATTTTTGGTAGCCATGTACATCCCGAAACCATTTTAAGGGGCAATTTGAGAATCACCATCCAAATGGAGCGCTCGCCATTTGTTATGTACAAGTTTCACTTCTCATTTCAAGCCGTCTCTTCATCTTTAACTCCATTTTGTGCCAGTGACCCTAGATTTTGGATCTTTCAATTTTTAAAGAAAAACGTTCAGTTGAAGATGGTAGAAGAGGAGACTTGCCTGGGTGTATAAGAATTTTTCAACTGATTCCTTTTTTTTTTTTAAGCTGCGGGCACCTTACATTCAACAAATATTGAGTTGTTTTCCGGGAAATAAGCTAGGTACAAGGGATTCAACAGTGAAAAAAACAATTCTGCCCTTGTGCAACTGATATTTTACAAGTAAAAGGAATATAGTATGTTTCATGTTAAGTGCTATACATTTTTTTTTTTTTTTTTTTTT